GTTTGAAAAATTATACTTTTGCCTCTAGTAAAAAAAAAAGTTTTAACTTAATTCATTCAAATATGATATTAAAATTTTAAATTACTATTTTTTTTACATTTTCTTTTCAAAAAAACTTGTTTAATATATTATTATGTGTCATCAATTTTTTATATTAGAGACATATTATATGTTTTTTGTTATATTACCTCTTATATATGAATACTCATAAATAGTTCCTTTGTTTAGAGATACTTATTACACAATTAACAACAATTAATATAATGTTTACTATGTAATTCAATGATTCAAAACTGTGAAAAAAATATAATAAAAGAAAGTGGTGTATAGCAATGTCTTTGTATTATGTATTCACCTTTTCTTTCATTTCTTTTTTTTTTTTACTATTATTATTATTTTGATTCCTATCTACATCTCTTTTGTGTGTGCAACTTAATATAATTTCATTTTCATATTTTAGAAGGCATGTGATTATTTTTCAAACCATGTGATCATCAAATATAAAATCAAATTAAAAACAAAAAATGATTAAGATCAGCTAATTCGAGTTTATATTTAAATATAAAATTTAGATTACAGTGTTTTTTTATTCCTACCAACAAATAAAAATTAGATTAAGTTTGATTGTGATTTTTGTTAAGATTTCAACTCAATGGTACTATAACGCCCCCCAAAAAATAGACATACTACGTCACAATATCCTTTAAACATGTAGAATCATTACTTCTCATGTAATTATCTGACATACACACATGCGATTCTTTTTACTTAAACAGAATTTAACTACTTGTTTCATTACATTTTTTAATTTTACAACTTGAAACCAATTGACATTATCGAGTCAATCAGCCTTCAGTTTTACCCAAGACAATGCCTTAGAGGGTACAAATTTCCAAGGTCTTGCCTGGATTACAAATAAATGGTTTTCTAACCCACACAAATATAGCCTTTGGCTTATCAAAAATAAACAACAAAAGATAAGAGCCTCGTGCTCCCAAAACTATTCTCCACACCTCTCCTTTAGCAGGGTCACAATAGCTTTTCCTCCAACAAAATCCACCAGGGGTGAGTACAAAACCCAATAGAAAATTCTTAACAAAGTATATATATTTTATACAGTCTCATGAGATAAATGCACCTGCCATGCAATGCTCTGCTCAAAAAGATAATTTTTTTCTTTTGAAAGTCTTATGTATAATGCATGTCAAAAACATAATTAATCCAATAATATCCATGTAACAACAAAGAGTGGTAAATACGACTCAGACAAATCCCCAGGGCTAGTGTCTGTAAGTAGGCTTATCAGGCACTACCAAATTCTACCTTGTCGGATTCTAACTGAAGGGTTTAGGCACCCGCACGCGCGTGTTTCTGGTCTTGCATCAAGGACACTTAAGCCAACTTAATTATCAAATTACACCCCCTAACAGGACTTCCCACCATATTTACCTCAAAACGGTTCATCAACAACATTTGTTCCACAAAAACCATTTTCATTTCAAAAGTAATCTCAACAATGGTGGTTCAAAAGAAAAACAATGAACATGAAATGAAATGTCAATGCAATATACGTCTATATCAATGCCTCAAACTTTCTCAAAATTTTTCACTACTTTCTCATTTCATCCATACAATCTTCTATTGTAATCAAGTTTCACATCTCTACCCAATGTGTATATATACAATATATATTCCAAGAGAATTTTTTTTTTGAAAAAAATGCACATCATCAAATACATTTTTTCCTCTTTAAACTAAATAAATTTCAACATGAAAATTATCATTTCCAATCTTTATCTTTCTAAGATAAGTACAACAACATAATATTCACTATTTTCTCAATATCAACTTCTCTCTTACAGGGAATTTCAACAATAGGGGCAAATATAACAATTTCCTCATCATTTCTCAAAAATGGATCTCAATAATTCATGATTTCACAAAAGCTAAGTTTTTACAAAAGAAAAATAGAGTTTCTCTTTTCTTTTCTTTTCTTTTTTTTTTTGAAAAATTCTATGCAATTATAAACTCCAACTATTACACAACTCATATTTTTCATCGATACAACTTTTTCTCAAAATTCCTCAAGCCTTGGGTTTTCACAAAATAAGGGCTTCCTTATTTAAACAAAAGTTTTTGCTCATGAAATCTCAAAACATTTTCATAGTTCATAAATTAAAAAATTTAAAGAAAGATTTGAGAAAACCCCTCTTTGAGCAAAATACAATCTCATAAAAATCAAATCTTAATTCAACACACTCCAAACAATATCAAAATAACTATGGACTTGCAAATATATATATATATATATATATAAAACTCAAAGAAAATCCCTACTTCAAAACAAGAAGATGAGAAGAAACAAGATTCAAGAAGAACTCTTCACGAAATCAAAATCCAATCGGTCAAAATGTTGATCTTCTCTTGTCCTTCACCTTTAATACAGGATCTATAGTGGATTCTTGGTGAAAAATAGATGAAATCAAGGTTTTTAGGTTTAGGGTTTCAGGAATGGAGGAGAGGAAGAAAGAATGAAGAGTTTGGGTCAAAAAGTGGCTTTAAAGTGCCAGATTATGAACAGACCGCTCTAACAGTGAAAGAAAGCTCCTGAAATCTCTAAAATTTGTGCAGACTGCTCGAGCGGTCAAAAGTTTGCTTGAGCAAATTTTCTTCCAGCATAGGTACTCAAATTTCAAACGGATATAACTCCTTCGTCCAGACTCCGTTTTAGGTCGTTCTTGTGTCTAAATCGAAGTCCCGGAAACAAGCTTCCAATGGTTCTAGCCTCACATCCAAATTCAAAGTGTGGAATGAGAAAGATAAAAGAGTGAAAACTGGTTATAGGACAATTATTCAAATTAATGTTTTTGATTCAATCCTACTTTACCATTATGATACCACCTCAATCAATATTTTAAAATGAATCATAATGGTAAAGTAGGAATCAAAGAGGCTCCAAGTACAATAATAAGAGTGTCAAGAGCAATCCCACTAGTCCAAGGAATACAAAGTGTTACGAGTACCCCCTCTAAGCCAAAATTTTAGCTCTGTCACTTTCTACCATGGTAATCAGAGTTGTCCAACAATAAAAATAAATTGTGCAACAAATCAATTTTATCAAGCATCAATAGAGTTTAAAATGAACAACGAATACATGAACAAATAGTATTTTATTTTGGCAACTACGAGTTTAAACTTTAATAATTTATTTATAAAATAAAATGCGATTTATTCATCTATTTATTGATATCCGATGAAATTGATTTTCTACACAATCGATCTTCATTGTAAGGTTTATGAGAAGAATTATTGGGATTGTCGTTGCGGGCTCAAAGTCAAACCCACAAAATAGAGAATGGATGAATACAAATTAGGGTTTTTTACCAGTCGGTCACAATAATTGAATCTATTACTTATTTGGTCCTAAGTTTCTATCTCGTGCACTAGGAAGTCGTGTTATATTTTTTTAATCTCGATTTTGCCCCTGCTGTTATACTGCCAGAGCCATTGATGAATTAGTGGTGTTGTGAACATGAGAATTGCTAGAGCCATTGCTGAATTCGTTGGTGTTGGAGAACATGAGAACTGCCTCTATGGCCCTTGGATTTGAGAGAGATGGTGTTAGATCTGAGAGAGATCAAGAAAATTGACATGAATGGAGATGGGGTTTGTTGACATTGATGAGTTCCAGTGCCATTAATGAATTCGTTGATGTTGATGAGCATGAGAACTGTCTCTGTGGCCCTTGGATTTGAGAGAGATGATGTTAGATCTGAGAGAAATCAAGAAAATCGACATGAATAAAGACGGATGTGTCGACATTGACGAATTCGGAGCTCTGTATTGTTTAAACCAATGATAAATTTGTTTAAACCAGTGATAAATTTATCACTGATGAATTTGTTAAAAAATTTACAAATAGCAGACTTGATTTGAGAGAGAGAGAGAGAGAGAGGGGGGGGCATCACGACAAATTTATCACTAAATTAAGTCACAAATTTATCACTCATAAATTAAGTAACAAACTTATCAGATCAGTTATACGTCTGTAGAAGATCAACAATACGTTTCAATGCATTGATTGGACACTTTTCATCCCAAACCGATGATGGAAGAAGATGGTGGCAACGATGATTTCAAAGATGGTAGATTGGTGATGGAGGTAGATGGTGGCAACGACCATGTTGAAGATGGTAGATCGATGATGAAGGATTACGGTATTGAAGCTAGCAAATGAATGAAGGGAGAGAAGCAACGGTGATGGCAACGAAGGAGAAGGAGATGAATCACTAAATTAAGTAACAAACTTATCAGATCAATTATACGTCTGTAGAAGATCAACAATACGTTTCAATGCATTGATTGGACACTTTTCATCCCAAACCGGTGATGGAAGAAGATGGTGGCAACGATGATTTCAAAGATGGTAGATTGGTGATGGAGGTAGATGGTGGCAACGACCATGTTGAAGATGGTAGATCGATGATGAAGGATTACGGTATTGAAGCTAGCAAATGAATGAAGGGAGAGAAGCAACGGTGATGGCAACGAAGGAGAAGGAGATGATGGTTGGTGATGGAGGAGGAGGAGGAAATGGTGTGCCAGTGACAGAAATATAAGAGAGGGAGAGAGAGAGAGAGAGAGAGATAAGGATGTGTTTGGGTTTAGGATAAAATCACTTAACTAAATGTAAGGGTTAAAAATGCAAGATGGTAGGGGTGTCCGCGGTTCGGTTTGGGACGGTTTGCAGTTCGGTTTGGACCTGCCCGCATCTTTGCAGTTTGGAGAAAAGTCAACCCACAACCGCTTGCAATGCGGTTTGCGGTTTGTGCGGATAGGGTTCGCGGATGTGCGGGCGGTTGCGGGCGGTTTGCGGATTGAACTTTTTTTTCAAAAATTTATTTTTAAACATTTTTTTTTCTCCCATTTTGTGTCAATTTTTTTTTTCTCCCAATAACTTCTCATACTTGGAATAACCCAATTAACTCTTTAAAAAAATAAAATCAAAATAATACACAAACATCTCTTCAATTCTCCAAAATAAGTTATACTTGAAATTCAATCCACACGTACGGGCAACATAATTTTGCCTATATATACATGAGTAAGATTATAACAACACACTCTTTTACAATAGTATCTACTCATAATAGAAGTGAATCCCATGCGATGTGATCACATCATTATTTTTCCTTGTAATAAGAACTGAGAAAAATAAAAAGAAAGAAAACTAAACATTAATACCAAAAGCCCTTTAAGCCCCTTACAAGTAGTAACATGGGTTTGCTTGCTTCAATTCACTTTGTCTTCTCTTTAGTAGTTTGTTTCAGATATTTCTAGGCAACTGCCATAGGCTCTAGGTGATTGACTTTTACAAGGATTGAAAAGAGGTTCAGAACCTTTCCCATCTGCCAAATAAATGAAGAAAATAAAAGGTTGTGTAACCGACCATAACAGATTCAATTTCACAGATTCAAGTTCACAGATTGAATCAAATTAACAGATTCAATTTCACAGATTCAAGTTAACAGATTAAATCAAGTTAAAAAATTCAATTTCACAGATTTAATTCCAAAAAACAGATTATTCAGTCACAGATAGATTTAATTCCAAATATTAAATAATAGATTTAAATAACAGATAGATTTAATAACAGATTTAATTCCAAAAGTTAACAGATTGAATCAAATTAATCAAAAATTAATTCCAAAAAATAGATTTAATATAGATTTAATACAGATTGAATTCCCAAAAAAATAGATTCCATACAGATTCAAAACAGATTCCAAAAAAATAACAAAAACAAAAAATTCAAATATGTTGCAGATTCAAAACAGATTCCAAAAAAAATATCCTCCATCAATCCAATACCACATTAATTCCAAAAACACAAATCTGTTGCACAAACAAAAAAATAAATAAATAAATAAACACAGACAGATCTATGAACTGATACTCCAAACACAGACAGATCAAAGATCGGGGAGAGTGAAACAGAGAGAGAGAGAGAGAGACTTACTTGTGAGGTCGATCGATGCGATGAGAGAGTTAATCGATCGGTCGATTTTGCGATGAGAGAAAGTCGATCGGTGTAGTAAATGCAAACCCAGAGAGTGAGAGACTGTGAGATGAGAGAGTGAGGGAGAGAGACAAATCAGAGACACAAAGATCGGGGAGAGAGAGACATAAACAGAGACTGAGATTCAGAGAGGAGCTTACCTGTGAGGTGTGCGATGAGGTCGATTGGTCGATTAGTCGATTAGTCCATCTTGCGAAGACAGAGAGAGTCGATCAGTGGGTGTAGGCAGTGGAGATGAAAATCGCGAGAGTGAGAGTGAGCGTGAGAATGACAAACACAGAATGAGATAGATAGAGTGAGAGATAGATAAGATTGATTAGGGTTTTCTTTTTTGAACGGTTAGATTTGAAGGGAAAAAAGGGGGGTTTTTTTGAACGGTTAGATTTGACCCAAAAAAAAAAAAAAAAGTTTTATGCGGGCGGGTTGGGCGGGTGCGGGTTAAACCCGCAACCCGCCCGCAACCCGAAAATTAGATAAAATCCAAACCGCACCCTACCTTAATGTGTTTGCGAAACCGCCCATACGTGCGCGGTTCAGATCGGGTTGGGCGGTTCGAATAACTCTATGCCCAGCCCTACAAGATGGGCTAAATTATTTTGGGTCAGGACTTTTTAGGAATTAAGTCCGGTCCAAAAGACCGGCCCATAACTCCCCCTATAAATTATAGTAGTATGAAAGGGAACCATTATTATTTCGTAGGCCTATTCTATATTTATCAGCTCATTAAATTTTTTATTAAATAACTAATTTTTTATAAAAAAAATAATAATTAAACTTCAATAATTGAATGGTGAATCTTAAATTTTTTAGTTATCAAATTGCATTTTTCTATTTTATCTTAAATATCATATATATAAATAAAAATAAGGGAAAATTGGTCTAGGGTCCCTCTCCCACTTTTCATAATGGGAGAGATCCACAAAATTATTTTTTGATGTCTAAGGTCCCTAAACATATCACAGAGAAATTTGACCTTACCAAATCAAAACTCATCTCTCACTTTCTCTCTCTAAACTTCTCCATTCTCATACCTGGTTGGGGGACCTTAGACATCATAAAAATAGTTGATGTCCTTTATACTATAAAATCATAATATCAGGGACCTTAAAAAAAATACCCCTAAAAATAATTGGTGATATTTAAGTCTTTGTTTTTACTACATTCTATTTTTTCACACACCGGGAAAAAAAAAAAAAAACGTTACTTTCATTTTCAAATCTTTTTCCATTCTAAACAAAATTTTTCACTGACTTCTTTAATCCTAGGCAAATTCTTTTAAAAAAAAAAACTTTTAATGCATAGTCGAAAAGAAAAGAAATTGTGAATAAAATCATTAAATAATTATAATTTTTAAAAAATAATTGATAAATTTAATTTACGAAGAGTGTAAAACATTAGATTTAAGGAAAAACCTTATTTGGTGATATGGACATTTATTGGCCAAAAGAACATTGACACATCTGTTAAATTTTTTATTTATAACATATATGTTCAAAAAGTCTATCTATTGAAATTATGTGTTCAAAATACCTATCTGTTGAAATTCTATCTCTATATTTCTTCTCTCTCTCGTTCTACATTTTGTTATAGTTATAGGTCATCCAACGGTTGACCGGAAAGGGACCTAAATGATCAAATCGCTAGTTCTTACTATCCTCAACCTAAACTCCATTATTCTTCTGGAGCCTCAAGAATTTGAAGAGAGAGAGAGAGCTTGGTCTTGTGTTCTTCAATTTTGACAGATAGATTCAATTTTGTCTTGTGTTTTTCAATCAGTAAAGCCATTTATCTGCAAAGCTCTCTTCTCCTCTCTCTCTCTCTCTCTTCACAGTTCAAACTCCATAAAACCTCAATAATTTAGCTTTCCCCAAGTTCAAGGTTTCTGATTTCATCAATGACGGGTTTGGAAGTCGGTTGATATAAAATCCGCAGAGCTCGATGCGGATCACGACATAGTTGATTGTATTGTGGTTTTTAGAGTCTCTGTTCATTGTAACGCCTTTCGTCAGGCTCGACCCATCGGCGACCAGCTCGTCGTCACCATTATTTGAGAAAAGCAAACCTTTCGTCAAGATGCATTTCACTCGAAGCTAGAAGCACCGACCCATAGGTAGTGGCAAACCCGTCGGCATCCTCACTGATGTTGTAAACTTTGCCATTACTATTTGATATAGGGGTGGAAGAAGTGAACGATGACGATTTGACATGCTCAGGGTTCGGATCCAAGCCAAATCTGAAGGTATTAGGACTGTTGACAGACTGAGAGACGTGATCCACTGAAGGGAATAAAGTGTGTGGTGGTGAAGGAGTGAGCTGATGCCATAGCTTCCTCCAATACAGATCTAAGAGGTTTGATGCGGTCGATGAGAGAGGGAGTGAGAGAAAGGAGAAAGGAGAGAGAGTATCATTAATGGTTTAGAAAAATCCATTGTACATGTCAATGTTTTAAAAATTGGATCGGTGAGCAAACTGAAAAAGGGATCGGGTAGACGGGTTACCGGTTCAACTGTCGGGTTGAACCGGAATCGAATCGTGACGTAATAAATATATTAAAATTATATTTAAATAAAAATATAAGTAATAAAATTATAAATTAAAAATAAATTAAAAATATTAAATTATCTTAAATATTTCTCCTAATTTTTATAATAATATATTTTAAAATATTATTAATTTTAATTTTGGAAGAGGAAACCAAATATTTAATATTCTCTCCATATGATTTTAATTCAAATAATTTAATTGAAAGAAAAGTAAAAATTTTAGAGGGATATCAAAATTTCAAGTCTCTCTCCAATAAATTTGATTGAATCCCACATAAATTTTTTGATTTTTTTTGGAAGAATTTTTTTTCTTAAAAATAGGTAAAGATTTTCATAATAATTTTAAACTCTCAATAAGATTCTTCACAAGAGGAGACCTAGAAAGAGAGTTTATAATTTAAATTTTCTTACATATATATAAAATAAGGAGCTGGACAGCCCAGCGAATTGGCCCCGGGTTGACCGGTTCGCCTGTTCCCGTTAAATATGTCGGTTTTCATCTTTGGCCGGTTTAGAGGATATGTCTGGACCGGAACCTCGGCCGGTCGACGGTTCAACCGGTTGAACTGGCTGGTCCGGTCCGGTTTTCAAAACCATGGTACAGATAGAAACGAAGTGTCCTTATGGACTTCATAATGTCCTTACGGTTTGAATTAGCGCGTGAAGTTTTCCATGAAACAAATTCAAAATTAGACTTTTTGACTAGACACCTTATTTTTTATTTATTAGTATCCACACAAACTCTGTTTTTGTTGCATTTTTAGATGTGAAATTTCTAATTAAGCTCACACAATTTAATTTATCTGCTATACAGTACAAGAAAATTGGGCAAATAACACGGAAGCATTTGCAATGGCACCACTTACCATTGCAAAAAGTGAGTTTTTGCGACGGCACCACTTGCCGTGGCCAATAAACCGGGTTTCAACGACAACAGTACTTCCTGTCACAAAAAACAAGTTTATGAGACGGCAATAACTGCAGTCGCAAATAATGCCCTTTTTTGCGACGATAACCTTCCCCCATCACAAATAAAGGTTTTTGGCGACAACAACCCCCCTGTCACAAATAAAAAATTAGTTAAACGATGTCGTTTTATTGTTTAAATTTTCATTTGTGGCTGTAAAACTTGACATCACAAAAAAAAAAAAAAAAAGCCAAAACCTGATTTTCCCTTCGCGCTCATTTTTCCCCTCTTAAACCAAAAATTCTCAATCTCAAAAATCCCTAATATTTTGAACCAAAAACCCTATCAAAAATCCCATCTCTTCTTACGATTCTTTCTCTCTCTCTTTCTCTCTCTCTCTCTCTTTCTCTCTTTATTTCCCTCTTTCAACTGTGAGCAGCGACAGCGAGCATCGAATCGATGGCGTCGAACGACGGCGACGATCGAGCGAATGACGGTGCGGCGTGTCTCTCTTCAACTCTCTCAGTCAGTCTCAATCTCTGAACCAGGTTAGCTCTTCTCCTTCTTCATCTTCACGTCTCTACTCTGCTGGGTTAACCCTTTCCCTGTTTCCCTCCCACTTTCCACAGCCCACAACTCGTCTCTACTCTGCTGGGTTAACCCTTTCCCTGTTTCCCTCCCACTTTCCACAGCCCACAACTATTCTACCCCTCAAACTCTCTCTCTCTTTGTTGCCGTTGCTTTCTTTTCTTACTCTTCATTCACTTCATTTGCTTAATTATCTGGTATTTTTAACTGCAAATTTGAGTTGTTTTAGTTAAATAAATTTATGAGTTCGTCGGATTTCGATAGATGGATTAGTATTACGAATAGTTGGATCTCTTGACAGTTGGCTTTATTTGAGTGTGTAAATTGAGCTTTGGGTTTGATAAGAAATGCATCGCTTACTCCAAAGGTCCCCTCTTCACCCTCTCTCTACAATTACTTGGCTACAACTTCAGTTGTTTTGGTCTTTTTTAATTGCAATTTTTTGCTATTTCAGTTATAAATTTATGACTTCTGAGAAAACAAAGGAAAAAGAAACCTTTTGAAATGAAAGAGCAATGAACAAAATTTGAATGTATGCCTATTTCTGGTTATTTTTGAAATCTTCCATATTCATTCTGAAACCTTCACTATTCTAAAACTGTCTTATATCTCTAATTTTTACCCTATTTTCTCTCATTCTCTTGAAATTTTGATTTTAGTCTCTCTTTCAGCACTCACTTATTTGGAATTTTGTCAGTTGACATGGTAATGATTTTATGCTATTTTGGTATTTGTATATTTATGTTGATTGTAATGAAATAATTGTTGAATTTGTTCTAGGACTTCGTTTGAGTTTGTTGCCAAATATGTCATCTTGTTTTGTAAAATTCTAGTGGGTGATCCATGCCTAGGGCACTCCCAACCAAAAAAAAGAAAATCTCTACATCCAACTTAACCATTTTTTGACAATTGAAACCCAAAACAAAACAAAACAAAAAAAAAAAAGAAGAAGAAGAAGAAGAAAAAGAAGAAGTTATGCACTTCAAAATTATGCCTAGCGAATTATCGATGCCTCCGACACCCTCACGTTGATAAAAAATCATTTGCATTTTTTAGTTATGATCCATTGATCATTGCATATTGACGCAATTACAATCATTTCTAATTACCTTGCTTTGCAATTACAATTAAGACTACCTCAAGGCATGTACTTCATTACTTAATTGAAACCAAAAATAAAAATCATGAATTCCTATATGTATAGTCTCAAGCAAAATGACCCACTTAAGCTTGGTTCAACATCTTC